CATACACACACACACACACATATATATTACGCAATTTATTTGTAAGTTATAAATAGTGTAAAATTGCATTAACTCGATTTAAAATCCCGCGGATGTTTCCGCTTTGCTCTAATTCGTTAAATTCTATTTTAAAACGAGATTACCATATTTGGACAATTATCTATTGTACAGTCTACCGTTTCAGAAAGTTTCTTACATATATTTTCCATATTTCTTTTTTATATAAACATGGACAGCTTATGAAGACCTCTTTTCGCTCCTATTTTTTCACTTGTCAAATGCATATATTACGTATAAAAAATGCTTTATTAGATTGTTATCGTGAAAAAATTATTTTCTGAATAACCAGTTAATGTACAGCAAAATTATTCGAAATAAAAATATGTAAAAATATGTAATAAAATTGTCAATCATACTTTATGTCATAATATTTTGCAATTTATAATGATTATATCACCGGGATAATTGTCCAAGAATTTGCCGCGACGAGAATTTTTTCTGACGAGAAGATGAGATCATTATGGGGAAGGGCTTGGAAGTTGCAGCACATTAAGTCACTTTGCTCATTCACGGGTACGCTAGCATGCGTAAAGCACACAGCTACGTGGCAAAGTGTGCACAAGTGAAGCGAGCCAAAGCCTCCCGTTGAGCGTTCATCAGCCTCGATTTAACGGATTTACGCCACAATCTCGATCGTTTCTCGCATCTTTTTCGTTGGCAAGCAACGATGTTATGCGCGAATATGATCGAGTGTCAAAGTTACGATTGGCTGAATCATCGCAAAATCGTCCTTAACAAGTGCAAATGCGATGTCGAATCGAGATTGCAAAGATTTAAGATATGCACTATATAAGAAAACATTTGGATTATTGATAATTAAAAAATATATGTGTGTGTGCACATATGAAGAAAATTTAAATTAAAATGTTAAATATTTAATTTATAAAGCACTGATAATTTATAAATGTTTGTAAAATTTTATGCAAAATTTTTTTTTTGCATTAAATATTTAAACATTATTTAAACACTTAATATGTGACGAGAAACAGATTTTTGAAATTATAATAATAAAGTATTTCCTAGAATATATAATAGATTGAACGACTGAAAGGCTAGACGGTAATTCGGATACAATGGTATACAGTTATATGTAAATTCAGCGATTCTCGCAGCAAAATATCCAGTGAGTCATGAAAATAGAATTTGATTCGTGTTTGTAAAATCGATTTGTCACGCGCTTTCACGCCTAAATCAATAATATCTTTGAAAGTATTTTTTAAATTAATTTAGATTGGAAAGATTATGTTTTTTCTAAAATCATGTGTCATTGGACACATTTTACATTTTCTTAATATTGTTCATATATCACATTCTGTTTGAATGAATATTGTTTGTCACTAAATATCGATGTAAAATATTCGCAGATTTTAATGTCCATTTAAAGTAAAGATACTAAACATCTTTCTCTTAATCATATATTTGTTTAGTACGCGTTATTAATAATATTTCACATGTACTTTGATTGAGATTGAAACATTATTTTATTTTAAATCTCGCAGATATTTGCATAGAATATTGTAAGTACTGTATATCGAGTTCATTGTCCAGAATGTACGTTTTCCACCATCAGAGCGTATCAAAGAAGCCCATCGACCGTTTCAATATCCTGTCGTATAAAATGACAGTCTACCGCATAATTGAAAGTTTTAACCAAGCTAGATGGAAACTACGTTATGTCATTAATTACGGGAGATTACAAGTCACATGTCAATTCATATATACCATATGTAAAAGTATTACCAATAAGTTGACGATTTCATCTTTCAATACATTTTTCACTCAGTCTTCTAAATTGCACATTATTATTTTGACATTACGATTAAATATTTATAATTATTTATTTATAATTATAAATTCTATATCGAATCTATCATAAGAGACAATCATTATGAGTTAAGATAATATATTTGACGTAATAAAAATTTAAATAATTTACAATTAAAATTCTCTCGAAATATAGACTGCGGCAAAATTATACTTCAAAAGATGAAATACATGTAGCCCATGTGCGAAAATGATACATTTTATTTTCCGTCGTAGAAGCAAAAATGTATCGTAAAATTCCAACACGCATTCACGACAGAATGAACTGATAATGACGTTTTAAAAGCCAATAGAGACAGAGATTCACTCAGGTCGTATTAATAAGCTCTTGTTATTGAGCGATGAAATATATGTTGTGCGATACCGCGATTTTTTTTCACGATTCCAGCAAGATACAATGATACGAGCGATGTATCGTATATCGTCATATGATTCAATTACAGATTATACATACAGATTATACATACTTACAGATTAGATATATGAAGGGACGATAAAGAAAATCTTATTGCATCTGCTTGCACCACATGGATAGACGATCCGATATCTCGGGGATTCGGAATAACAATGTATCGGGTCTTTATCCCTGAAGCTCGAGAAGTTTACATAATAAAGCGTCGACAATGTTTCTCTCTCCATTCTCACTCTATTTTTGTCCTTGATGCCTTGAACGAATTTGTTTACAAATGGATGTCAATCACATATGCTTATTGTTATGGTTGTGTGTGTGTTTCACATGCGAACATTATAAAATATTGTAACATTGATTCTCCTGAAAATTCGGGAAATTATTTTCATGTACGCAGAAAAAAATAGATATCAAATAATTGTAATAAAATTTTTATTTTATATATATTTGTATATATAAAATATTATTTTATATATATTTATTTATTTAAATTTGATAAGTAAGTTTTAAAATGTTTAGTTATTAAAAAGGATTTTAGATAAATCACTTTTTAAAGAAAAATTGAAAGAGTGTGACTTTTTTATAGCTTGTATATTTTAATAAATTTGTTTAAATGAGTTAATAATTTATATTGATATAGAGTTTGTTTTCGTTTTCATCAATTTTTTATAAATATTGCTCTGTATCGATAAAGTATTAATGTTATGAATCGATCTTTTCAAGAGCTGATAAAAATATATTTTGAATCACTAAATTATTACCGATCTGCATCGATCAAATTAAATATCGCTATGTAAAAACTCATGAGAAAGGGTCGGACGAGGCGGAAGTTTGGCATACTTAGCAACATTGCCGCGGGTATCATCGATGTGATGACCTGTCCGTTCGTTACAAGTGCGAATGGGCGTGTCGGTTTCCTCCGAATACAAAATTCGTGTCGCATCGATAAAGAAACGCTACACAAAAGCGTGAGCAACGTTGCGTGTACGCATGGTCGAGTGTGGAATATTATGGTGAGAACGTTGCTGGTCAGATTTGATACATACAATTGAACTATATGTTAAACTTGTATTAATTGAGTTCAAGTTCAATGATAACGAGCGAAATAATTGTCAAAAATATTATTGAATAAATATTTTTACGTATATATAAATATTTTTTTATAATTATACATATTTAATATATATTTATATTAAATATTTTATATAAACATATTACGTGATATTTCAAAATAATCACTTCATAATAAAAATAAAAATTTAGATAGATAATAAAAAATTATAAAATAAAATACAAAAATATAATTTTTATATTGTAATTATATTTATGTATAATGCAAATATCTTTTATTAGCAGGACTATTTTTGTTTTATTTAATAGAAAAAATTAGAAATCTATTTATAATAGTCCACTCTATTTATAGTAATATAAAACGCAAGTTGTAATATCACGATTAGATTTAACTGGTAAACATTACATTTAACTTTTATAATCATTACTATCTCAACTCGCTGACATCATCCTCGTAAAACATATATAGGCGCGCCAAATTCCATGAATAATAAAATAATGTTGTAAACGGACGTGTATTCCCTACAGGATGAATTAGGGCCATTTACCGAACGCACAATCGTAAACAGGTGCAGCTAACGAGGACAAGGGCTCAAATTGTATACACGAGTAATCGACCGTTAAGTAATTTACATCCGTGAAAATGATATGCTTCGCTTAATCTCGTTCTATCAATAAATTACAGATTAGTTTTTCTGGAAATAATTATAATTAAAATTAATTTTTCAGGTCTATGAGAAATCTAACATTTTCATAAATATATATTAATTTTTTTGGCACATAGATGTGTAATGATTGAAAATGTAAAATCAACTAATATAATCACCAATTAATAATTATTATATATCTATTTTTGATGAACAATGACATATTTGAACTAGTGTTTACAATAAAAAGTTATTTAATCTTTAATTATGTTATTTTGAGAGTAAACACTGTCCAACATTTTTTAATCAATTCGATGTAATCTTCTATATTTTCCGCAAATATTTTATGTTTGTTTATATAAAAAAATTCATATCTTATTAATCTGAGATATAAAAGCATTTAGCTCGGATAGAACTCCGAAATATTTCATTATTTAAATGACGAAGCAATATTTCTATCGAAATCGATGATATACGCGACGATAATCCGTTCGAATCAACTCTTAATGCAGCACGTAAGGTCATTGATATTCACGTAGAGATCCTTACAATCTCCAGAACCGTTGAGCGCTTTGTTGCGACAAGCTTTGATCACGCTTTCTCGCATGTTATGGCATTAGATTGGATTCAGATCATTCCTAATCCGACATCGATACACGCCTAATTGCGGTGTCGTGCTAGTAAATCACGGAGAATAAAGATTAACCTTTTATCTTGCATTCCTTCATATAAATTCGTTAAACTATGTCGATCGTATCTCGATTTAGAATTTCTACTTTTTATATATTGAAAAATTATATTATATATTTATTTAATAATCTATGGATATTTTATTATATATTGCATATATTTTCGAGTAACGAGTCAATGATTTTAATATCATGCATACGAAGTATTGAAATCAATTTTTTTTCTATACATTGTACATGTATAATATACGAATTACAAGCTTCTCTTATTTTATGCGGAATTTTTTTCCTGTGTTACAGGCTGAATCTGAAGTCGCAGCCTTGAATCGCCGCATTCAGCTGTTGGAGGAGGACCTCGAGAGATCCGAGGAGCGTCTTGCCACTGCCACTGCCAAATTGGCGGAGGCGTCGCAGGCTGCCGATGAGAGCGAACGGTAAATATCCGCTATCATACAAAAATATTGCGAGCATTTTTGTTCAAATGGTCATTCTATATATTATCTACAATGAACAATTATATTATTAATAAATGAAAAAGAAAAATAAAACGTAACGATATTTCAATAGCTGTTTAATCAACACAATTTATAACAATGAAAATACATATCTATTTTAAATTGATAGAAAATAATTGTTCATTGTCAGATGCTCTTATTTTTTCAAAAAATGATTAAGAGTGACATAGAAATATTACATATTGTATGATTAAATTAGAAATTAATAACATTTTTTGAAATTGAATTTTAATTGATGATAATTATTCGATAATCGAAAATTATTGATGAGACCATTTACAGGAAACAAGATTTATTATAATTTGCTCTTAATCATTTTTATGTATTACGAATTATTGTAATAAAAAAAGAATTACAAATGAAACACAAAAGTGGTGTAAATCAGTATTTTTTCTGTTTTAATTTTATTTCATTATTTTACAGAATTAAAATATTATTGTGTTAAAGTCCTTTTTTTATTATATGTAATATTATTACATATATGTTATATCTTTGTAAATTGAAACAGGAAAATTTTTCTTTTGAGAGAAAAAAGTACATCTTTCTCTCAAAAATTACATTGTATAAATAATTTATACCACTTTTGCTATATAAATTCGTTATATATATTTTATACAAATATTAATATGAAAGTACATTAATTTTGAGCATATGTGAGTATGCATTATTTTTTAAAAAATATTTCGCATAATCGAGAATTAATGTTGTATCGTATTGGAAGAACCATTGATCTAAAAGAATGGAAATCTCTTGATTCATTTATTTTTTGATTTAATTATAAAACCGCGATGTAACATAATTGATTATGACTAATAACTTGCCAAATATAGATTCAAATAGCAATTTTTTTAATATTCAGTTACACATATATAATTATGAAAAACGCAAAAATTTAAAGAATACAATCATTATATTAATTCCGTCCTGTTGTTTTCATAATATATATGCAACAGTAGACGTTTAATTGTTACAGAAATAAAAATACGCAATATAATACAGATAATCTTACGTCAATTATTGCATTATATATAATATATTATATATTATATATAATTTAAAAAATAATGTTAGATAAAAAGAAGTTTAGCGATATTTTCTTTCTTTTGCATCTTTAAAATATGAGATTTTGCGGATTTTAAATACCACATCCTGACTTTTGTGATAACATATTATATCTACCGCGATGATAATTTTGCTTAAACTTCTTACTTACATAAGATACATATTTTTTTTTATTTTTACTGCAATAGAGAATCTTTTCTAGATATTTGTACTTTTATGCTTATTTATTGCTTAAAAAATTACGATTAAATCTATACCATGTCAAAAAATTCGAAACATATTTCTTTAATTTAATTTCTCTCCATTTTTTATGATATTTTGTAGAACGCGCAAAGAAAACTAAATATTAAAGAGGTAGTCACTGAATGCATCTGTAAAGCTTAATCGTCGATCATAATTAATTTACAAGTACGTAAATGCTTAAAATAACGCTAGGCTTACTTATCGGTATGATAACGAATGACGCGTGTGCACTTTTTGTCACACATACGTATCTCACGTTCCTAAGACAAAATGTCAAGTATGTTAATTTTTTGACTTATTATACAATAAATTACTAGATCACAAAGAAAGATGTGGAATTTAAATTTAATTTATTTTTAATATTACTATTTCAATTAATATGCAAACATAATAAAATAAATTTAGAAAAGTTGCAAAAAAAAGAAAAAGTAAAAAATATTGGCGTTTTATGGTGAAATTCATCCTTATATTGTTTTCACGTATATTCTTTCAATCGCGATTGATTTGTTTCTAAAAATCGACAAACAATCGATCGTTAGGATACGCAAGGCCCTCGAAAACCGCACCAACATGGAGGACGACCGAGTATCCTTGTTGGAGCAGCAGCTAGCACAGGCTAAACTGATCGCAGAGGAGGCGGATAAGAAATATGAGGAGGTGGGTCACGTATCAACGAACAAAGAGCAATAGAAAAGGAGCGAAGGGCCCTTTATTTCCCTTGTCGAAGGCAAACTACCAATCAATAGGGCATCCAACCAGATACTTCGCGTTTTATTATTTTTTTACGAAAGTAGGAATATTTATTTATTACTTGTAATATTTTTCTATGGAAGAGAAATAATAGAGTAATTTATTAATAAAAATATAACTCCCTCTCATAATGTCATATTTTCGAATCACTTGGCAATTTATTATTAATTCCATAGAAACATAAAGAATTGTCCAGATCGGTTGGTAGTTTTCTTTTCTTTCCTTTCAGAAAGTTTCACAGGTAGAGACGCAGTGTTGTAGCTGAGCAGAGCGGCTGTATCTCAACGATCTCGTCTTATTTTTTAATTTAATTTATTCGTGTAATTGATTTTTAATCGTAAACTCTTTCGTTCGACATGTGTCCACCTTAAAGCGCCCGCAAGATTCTTGAGAATCGCAGCTTGGCGGATGAAGAGCGCATGGACGCCCTCGAGAATCAGCTGAAGGAGGCCAGATTCCTTGCTGAAGAAGCCGACAAGAAATACGATGAGGTTCGCGTGCCCGCGACTACTACTGTCAAGCGTGTTGGCTGCAGTGATGATAATCATCATAACGATGATGGTTCCTAGTCGATAATTAAAATAGTGCCTAACCATGTAACTCTCTGTCTTCTCTTTGTGTGCTCGAAAACACCGTGGCGCGTTTCTATCGCAAAAAATTACATAATATGAAGATATACGTGTCTCACGTTTGTTAAATCGTTGGTTTCATTAATAAAAGGGATTGATCGCGTTATTAAAATGCGAGTCGATCTTATCGCGATAAGATTTTCCATTGAATGTAAAAGAGTTAAAGATGCGAGACAGTGAAATTTCGAAATATGAAGGGCAATTCGTGAAGGTCAGTCTGTGATTGCATTGGGCTGCGAATCAAAGTGAAAAGTTGTTTCTTTTTTCAAAAGTTTAAAAGTACGTGTTTGTCGCTCGACAGTGCAGTGTCTCTGATCGTTCTTTTTGTCTCAGAGTATACAGAGGATCTGTAGAGATCTGTCAAACGTGAAGGAAAAGCGAAAAAAAAAGAGTGATATACGCGTGCGATGTTGATGCAGTGTTCACGTGTTTCGAGCGCGATTCAATCGAAAATCAGAGATATCTGTGATTTCCAAGTGTTTTCTTCGTTCGGTTAAAGCCAAGACAAGATGTCTCAAGTGCCAGTTTTATAATTAGGATTTAATCCTGTTGTTGCTATATTCTTGTTACTAAATATTTCTAGATTAGGGGAGGTCGCATGCGACCAAGTTCGCGAAGAAGTTTGTAGATGCGTTTTATAATAGTTCGATAGTTTCTTCAGCGGAATTGAAGTTGTCGTGGAAATTGGATCGCGTGCTCTCGGTTTGTTGTTCGCTCACCCGTGAAAGACCGGCCTCGTTATTTAACAAAAATATCAATTGTGTTGTGATAAAACGGCGGGAGGCCGCACGAGCTTATCGCGGCTCCACGTCCATATTATACGGTGCTGTTTTCCCAAAGACGCTCGTTTTACTTTATTGACGAATTTGGAACACGCGTCAAATAATGAGAATTGCGATGGTAGGTGTTCGCGATAACGTTGAAATTACGGTGATACACTTTGCTGTTTATCTGTCCGTCTGAGATTACAGTATTATCTCTGGTTAGGATAAGATATCGTAGATATACCTTGAATTTTTTTTAGTCGTGATATTTTTCGCATGATACAGAATTTGCCAGAACAGATTATTTATGTGATTGATATGTAATTGTATAATTTAAATATTTAATCTAAAACACAGAAGATATCGTTTGTTCCTTCAGCAATATTAGTTACTTCTATGAAAAATGTCAATTTAATTTTAATTTTATCTCCATCAAATCGCAAATTGACGATTTTATATTGCCGGAGATTATTTATAATTTTGAAATTTTGTACCAGAGCTTCTGAATTCACCGTAACTTCAATCACAATTTATCTTTTTCATCTTTTGACGTTATATGCGATCTGTTAACTCGTTGATTAATAGTATACGCAAAAACTAATCATGGTGTGCGAGAAATTGACCTAATCGCAATGTTATACGAATCGTCCAATTTATTTCAGTAGATAGACTGCCTTCTCTCAATCGCTAATTTTAACCTCTTAATTAACGTTCTAACTGTCCATCCATTACAGAAACTTACAGAGATGACGACAAGTTCTAACAGCAACCGAGTGTATGCCGATATCCTCGTTAAATCTATTTTTTTTGCACATACATGTATAAGACAATTTACAATGTATTCGCAAAAATATGACGCAATCTTATCGTAAAATAATTGAATGTTATGAAATTGGGAAATTTTGCAGTCTAGAATAATTATTATAAATTAAGTGTAATATTTCTCCGATTTTCTCTATTGTAATTCACATTGTTAAATACTGTGAACGCGATTACGATTAATTTAAATTTTCTCGAGTTGAATGAAATCTTTTTCGCTTTAAAATCACATGATTATTATCTTTCGTCGAATATCGTATGAGTCATTTGCGTGCAATGCTGAGTATAAGAAATCAGATCGATGTGAATCTCAAATAAACGATGCATTGAGCGATTATTCAACTGAATGAAGAATTAAAAATGAGAAAACGAGGAATAAATTTATTAAACTTGTGTGCCAAATTTTTATGGAAAGCTATTTTACGATTAATTGCGTCACGATTGTGCGAGAATTGTGTTGCATGAGTATAAAAGATCGTCGTAGAATAGTAAAAATATACAATGTGTTATGATATAACTTTTAATGAAAGTTATTAAAAAATTTTATATCTACGACGATCTTTTGTCCTACGTAACTAGACGATATTCTTTTTTGTGCGCTTACGAATCGATCAGAACTCACACAATTGCGACATGACACCATGTGCTATTTCTGATCGTTTGGTTTTTGACAGCGAGCTCGATTGGAAGAAGTGTGATTCATTTACGAACATTCAAAACTATTAAGAAAATTGATGTCTAATAGCTTGCTATTAGAAACATGTTTTAATTTTAATTCTGATAAAAGTAAACATACAATGTGCGTATATTAAATTCTGTAATTACATTAATATGATATCAATTTTCTCAATCTATTACATATTTAAAGTCTGCTTAAATGATCTATAATTCGCGACGAAAAATTCAAGACAAGAATCTATTTATAAATTTTAAAAATATATTACATATTCTAATGTTATATTGTATATACACATGCATGTACTCTGATATATTTCATGTGATATCTTCAAATATTTCTCGCATTACTCGACGTATGAAATTATAAATAAAATTTGTTTCGAGTCTTCGTCGCGAATTATAAAATATTGTTAAATGAGACTTTAAAAGATACTTCTTGTCAAAGAAATATTGATTCTCTTTTCCACGGGATGACTTTACATACTGGTGAGTTTCCATACTGGAAACGCAAATATTATCACGCGCACTTTAGATCTTCGCAAGCTCGTCAGCGGACTTTGAGCGTATAAGAGAGAGAAAGAGAGAGAATCTAAACTTGTAACTCTTCCAATCGTGGTTATGACGACGACGAGACGCCGGTGCCTCGTCGTCTCGTCGCCTCCGGAGTTTTCAGAGGCGGCGAGGTCGTCGAGGAGGAGGAAGGGAAACACATATTAGAAATACGTGTATGTATGTATCGTTTACAACAGGTCGCCCGTAAATTGGCCATGGTTGAGGCCGATCTAGAACGCGCCGAGGAGCGTGCGGAGGCCGGAGAGTCGTAAGCATCGTTTTTATTAGGCATCTCTTTCGCCCGGAACACTTTTTGTCCTGAGTGTGCGAATTTTTTTTTATTCCTCTCCAAGGCGCCCCCTCTCTTGTCATTTCGCATTTCGTCGATCGCACTTGAATTCGCTCTCGTAACTTTTGACATCGTTAACCCGCATCACGTTTTTGACGACAACGATGACGAAAATATCCCCCTCGATTACGATACTTTTGCACGTTATTTCTTGTGATGGCATTGTATTTTTAAGGCCATTGTTGTATACGAATTAATATCTTTTCGTAGAAAAAGCCAGGATTACAAAATTAAATAATCTAATCTCTTGTTAAGAGAAATAGTGCCAGATGTCTTATATAAATAATATCTAGTAATAATATAGTAATAGAATCTTTTCTAACAGATAGTAATAATAATGGCTTTTCTCTACGAATACCTTCTGCATCTGGGGAAAATGAGCAAAAATTACATAGAACTATATCGGATTTCAATTGATATAACATTGTAAATTTTTGCAGTATACCCGTAGCAATATTTAGATCCAAAATCATTTATTCCACTACTTAATTAATTAATATAATTTGTTGTGAAAAAAGAACCACTCGTGGGCGCAGATATGATTTTTACATGTGATACTTAATGTTGCGGCACAGTGCACTCGTACTAATCTTTCAACAGCTGGAAGGAGTCTCCAGAAGCCAGGAGAATAATACTTATGAGGACATTTTATGCTCTGCATGCTGACATCTGAATTTTTTTTTACTATTTTATACCCACCTCATCTTTGCTTTTGCGCATGACATTGTGTGGCTGTTGATCACAGGTTGCCAGAAAACTACACATGATGGAGCAGGATCTTGAACGCGCCGAGGAAAAGGCCGAGCTTTCTGAATCGTAAGTGCAATCACATGCATGCGCCCTTTTTTTTCTATGTGCGACACGGCTTCCTTGCCATCGTTCGCTTGTTTCGTCATTCAACAATTTAAATTACTGTCGAACGTTTCGACAAAACTTTTACAATACTAGAACAATAATTTTACAATCACAATAGTATTTTTATATAAATAAACAAAATTTCTTATTGCTATCAAATTCGATATAACACTAAAATCTAATTATAATTATTTTCTATCAGAATAAATTCTGTAATTTACTATCTCTCTTGAATTACTTAATTATAATAAAGTAAAGGATTATATATTATAAGATTAGAAACGTTCGTATGTAGTTTCGATATTTTCTGCTCTCTTCATCCCTCTTATACGATGATCCACAAATTCAAAATCTTATTCATCAATTTATATTAAACAATTAATTAACTTTACAGCAAGATCGTAGAGCTTGAAGAAGAATTACGCGTCGTCGGCAATAACTTGAAGTCCCTTGAAGTCTCAGAGGAAAAGGTAAATGATTTATATATATTTTATGCGCGATATACAATCAGAGCGGAACGTGATTTCGTTATATTTTTAATTCGCTCCTTAATTCTCATTTTATATTAAAATGACTTCTTCAAATGCCAATTAGCCCACATTTAATATCGGATAATATTATAGATAAAAAGTAATTAGATACATGTTATGGATAGAAAGTAAATTACATACATTCTTCATAGTATATATAATTCGATCATAAACCATAAATTAAATCGATGAAATTACCGATAATTGAACCGTGTTGGCATCAATTTTAATAAACATCACTTTACATTAAGCACGGTCTAAAATATCTTTTATTCAAATGTTCTGGAGAAAGTTAAATCATTGTTATACGGAAAGAAAATAATATCTACGTAATTGTATATAGGCCAACCAGCGCGAGGAGGAATACAAGAACCAAATTAAGACCCTTACTACCCGTCTAAAGGAGGTACACATCCTTTGGGAGTGTCTTGTTTTTGCACTTTTGATAACATGTGATCTTCGCGTCATAGGTCTTGCCACTAAAATATTAACTCGTGTGCCTCTATAATGTTTTACATCTGATCCCGTTTTTTAAAAATAACTAAAGCGTTTTGCGTTTGCAGTAAACTAATAATAGTTTGTTTTGTCTTTTGTTGTGCTTGATTAAAAACAGGCAACGCAGAGAGAGGAGACGTTCGAGGGCCAGGTGAAGATTCTGGATAGTCAATTGAAAGAGGTAAGTGTGTACAAGAGCAGAATTAAGATACTTGATATGTAAAAATATATACCGACTTTGATTATATTGTAATTTCATTTCCAATTCAAAATATATGAAAAAGAAAATAAAAAATAATATCTATGATATGTGCACAAAAGTAGCTCTTTAATTGTATTATACTTTACTGTACAAAATATATATAAAATTTTTTACGAAGAGCACACGAAATTCTTGAGGCCTTTATAAACGTTTAGTTAAATCCACTTCATAGATCACATCGCAGGTATGATGCACACGAGTGTATTAATAGTATCGTAAGTTTTTTAATTACCATATTGGCCGATATAAAATAAAGCTGTGTTCACATTAATAGCATATTAATCGTGCAATATATATAGTGCATCGCAACTAAACCTTTCAAAGCCTCGATTTTATATCCATTTGAAGTTGCAATCGTGTGTGATATGAAATTCCTTTTACTTGCATGGCGTGAAAGATTGATATTAATCTAAGTTATGTTAATAATCTCAACGATTTCAAGAAAATAAAGCACTTATTAATTTAACAGAAGAATGATATATTTTCGCATATTTCAAGAGGCAGTCAAAAGATATTTTCTTTTGTTTTTTTGAAATCGATGAGTAAATTTAATAAAAAATTGTAATTTTCTTATTGACACTGAAACATGTTGCATTTGCGTAGGCTGAAGCACGTGCCGAGTTCGCGGAAAGATCCGTGCAGAAACTCCAGAAGGAGGTTGACAGGCTCGAAGGTACGTATATAGTAAAGAAACGCACGTTATAATCTTTTCATTTTTGTTTCATACGTTTTTAGCAAAGAAACATATTTTAGTATCATTGTTTCAATATTATTCTCAGTATACTCTTCGATACATGATTTATTTGTAAATTTAATTAGATTTTTAAAACGCATTAATATATATGTTATACTTTTTATATATCTTAAGTCTAGATTTTATAATATAAATCGAATTGTTTAAACAAAAGGAAAGAGAAAGAGAAACAAATTCAACAAGGTTTTTATTAATGGATGACATTCAATGATCGGAAATATTTTCTATCCGAGCAGCTAAGTTTTTAAAAAATCGATCTCATATTTGAAATTCTTGAATTAAAGACATAATGAATTGAAAACTAATTGTTACATATATATATATGAATTAATTTATGAATTGAATTTTGTTAAAAAAGATAAAGAAATTATAGTGAATGAAAATTTTAATATTCAGAAAGCTCTCAAATATCGAAATAATTAAACAACTCAAATATCAAACATATCGAATGTATGTTGATTAGTTTTTCTAATTCTGATATGCACAAGAGAATATAGCGATTCGACAATCGTAAAGCAATTCCCGTTTTTTCCGCTGTATGTGTTTATGTGTGTATGTACGTGCTGTTTTATTTGCGCAATTGACCCATCTAACCGCCGAAACGCAGTGTATTACGCTCGCGTGTGGCTTGCCGTGTGTTACTTCCCTTTAATCAGTGATCTTTACAGACGACCTCACGGCCGAGAGAGAGAAAAACAAAATGCTGCAGGAAGAGATGGAGGCCACTCTGCATGACATCCAGAATATGTAGATCATGTTTTTCGCGATGGACAAAGCGCATAACGCGAGAACGTTCATAGAAAGAGCGGAGACACTTATGAGAAAAAAAAGAAAGGAAACGAAAGAGAAAAAAAAATGCGAGCGAATAGTATAACGGCGGCAACGAGAAGAAGTTAATGAGATATAAACACGCGCATTACGGCGCGAGCGTTTCGTGTGGTGCACCTTAATATTAACGGATAAAAATGCAGTCTTTAGGCTAGCCTTATACCCTCCATTACGTCCATCCGCCGCAGTACGTGTATGTATTATGTGCGTTCATATGCACTCGTGTTTGTGTATGTCACGTTTATGCCTATCTATGGGCGCGTGACGCAAGATGCACAGACTGATGAAAGATTAGGTGAAGAGGAAGAAAACGAAAAAGTAGAACGTGTGTATGTGTGTGTGTATGTGATTTTTGTGTGCGTGTATGTGAATGCAAGAAAAGAAAGGTATAAAATGAAAGGATTAGAATATGGAAGTAAGAAAAAAAAGAATGTAAAAGATAGAGGGAGAATGAGAAAGAGTAAATATAATATACGACAAGGACAGATGGTAGGATGGTTTCGTAAATAACATGAAGTTACTTGTAATCGAAATCTGATTTTAGTTTTAGATATTAGCTTGTAGTCTGCCTTTAAATTTTAATTCGATAAAATCTGAGGCATGGCTGCGACCGATATGAGGTGTTTTCGAGCTTGTCGCGATTTAAAATTCGTTAAGAAAACGGTTACTGATCGTGAGGAAAATATATGAATAGAAATTAGGGAAAAGAGTAAAATGAGAAAAAGAAGAGATAAACGCGTGTGGATCGAATTATTTGTATCGAGAGAGGAAAAGATCCGATGTGAGAGATTTCGAAATCAATTTTCTCGAGCGTATCAATTTTATGCGCCAAAAACAATGTATGTATATGTGTTTTTAAGTATAATCTATTTTATATATGCATATGTAAAATATATTATACTTATTACATAAATATATAGTAAGTCGCGCCCAACTCATCTAAAAGCTTCTCTCTAAAAAGAATAATTATTAAGTAATAAAACTTTTAGAAGTGTGACTTTTACAAAAATTTTTTTATCCATCAATTGATTAGGCGAACATTTTATCGAAGTTGTGCGTGCTTCTCTCGATACAAAAAAGAAAGAAAAAAAAAACGCGAACTCCTGCATAATGGAGGGAAACAGTGCTCATTTTTTTCCGTTGCCTTACATTCCTTATTTCGCGGCTCAGCTCGTGCGAGAAGGTAAAAACTCGTCAGTTTCTTTATCTGTTTGCCTTAAAGTTTTATCATTGCGTTATCTTCTCATTGCCGCCGATGAGAACAAAGACGACAACGAGCAATAACCGTGCATTTAAGAGAATTTCACTGCCAATTCCTCCAGCAATTTTTTAAAAATATATCTTCGTAGTGTGTCTTTGTCTTCATTGTGCAATAAAAATCGATTAAATAGTTGAAACTTAAAGCACCAATACATATTGCTATAATTACAATATTGCTATAATTCCAATTTTTCCTATAGAATAAAATAAAATAATCGAGAATTACATGTATATGGCCTAGTAATACACACGTGTGTCACGTACGTAGACTGATTTAACTTTGAACTTAAGAAAAATCGACCAATGCTTAAGATGTAAACAGGGAAGCAACTGACTTTTTATATCACACTGCAACTTCCCGTGCCAGCTGAGCCGTCTGACATTTACCGATCGTGCCTGTATATATATATTTACATAAATACTAACCACCTCGGCCAGACAAACCTCGATGCAGGGAACGTGCTTCGTTTCGAATGTAGTAGACGAGAGATCGGAAATAATAACCGATTGGTCGAATATCTGATATTAGTTTCATCACTTGGGCATATAATTCGTTCCTAATTATTATTAATTGATAGAGAGTTATTATTAATATTACTGCTATTTTACGCTCGCTATTAAACATCCAAGTAGAAATTTTTTTTCTCTTCCAATCTTTTTTTTTATAAAAATCATATTTATGTCGCGTAATTATCTAGATCTATCTCGATATTGTAACTCGTCATGGTTATTCTTATAGCACTTTTCCTGCAATATATTCTTGGATGGTCTTTTGATGTAGGAATGTGCATCGTCCTCTTCCGTTTCGGTATATAAATGCATGTATATTATACTCTCCCTCTTTCTCTCTTCTCTCTCTCGCATGATAATTGAACAATCGTGAAAATACGAAATTATCTAATAGAATAGATTTAATTACGTTCGGGATTAACTGGCGATAAAACGATTGATATGAAACGAGATATAGAAAAGAGATGAAAGAAACATTTTGCACAAGAGGCAAAATCTTAATTTTAGTAATTAGTTCTTTATTCGTTTTGATTTCGTTTGTGATCGCATTGATCTATATTGTACAAATTTATATTTCTGTTCTAATACAATCTTAGTATTAATTGTATTAATTATATTATTATAATTATTAAGTGACTTTTAATTATGATCACGTGTGATATTAACATCGCGTCGTCTATTAAATAATATTTTGTTCGGAAATCCGGACTTTAAATTGTATATTTCGCAAAAATGATAGTTATATTTATGCGAAGATGACGATGAACTAACAAATATACAATAACACGTATACATTATCGAAAGGCCATCCGAAGACCGCACGACCGTTTGTTCTTCAAGTTAACGTCACGCGCAAGCATTATAAAAAAAGACAGGAAAGTAATCGCGAAAAGCACAACTACAAGACAACCACATGTCCTATCGTTGATTTTTGTTAGCCCCGTTTTTTTCTTTTTGAATAATGCTAAATTTATAGAAATGCAGATACTTGAGTTTAAGAGAGTTTTAGTTTTTATTAATTTACTTAATATTAATGAAAAAATTATGTGAATGAAAAGATAATAACACTAATATCATTGTAATATTAATGAATATTATATATATATATATATATATATTACTATATTATTATAAAACTGTTTATAATATATATTTTAATTTTGAAAAAAGAGTGTGTCATTTTTGTTTTTCGTTGTGGTGTTACCTTTTTTTTTTACCTGCGCTAATGTAATATTAATCCTACGCGCGTTAACAAAACGACATAACTACATGCCCACGCAATAACACTGTGTGGCCGCCTTGTTGTTAGACAGCCCTATAACAAGTTGCATGATAAATGAAGAAATTGTGGTACGTATATCTTATTTACGGTGAGTAAATTCGCTTAATATCGGATTTTGCTATTTAACGCATGATAAATTTTTCACATATTAATATTATTAAAACTCACGATTGTCTTTATCTCTGTCATAATTACAATTATTTTCGCAGATATGCCTTTTCAATTATCTGTGCAATTTTTCACCGATATTTAAGCTAAAAACATTTTTACATAATGACATAGCTGCTATTGTAAAAATATATTATCGACATACATTAGCATAATTATTTGATTATATTCACGATATTGCATCCTCAGGAAATGAATAAAAAATGACTTTAGTTCAAAGAATGTTTAATTCAAATATATAGAAAGTCATCAGTTGAATTAAGAGAGCAATAAAGCATATAGGTATTATAAAAAATGATATTTAATCGAAAGAATTTGGCGATAATTGAAATAAGATTGATGAATAATTTTTAGCCGCACATATAGATCGTTTTTATTTATTATAGATTATGTACTTAATTTAGTTAAGTTTAAATTTAATTATTTTCACTGCTTGATCCATTTAATGCCTGCTTATTTACGCAATATATATATTTTAACAATTATTAAACATTTTAATTTTCACATCTTTCCTCGATACTGATTCGAGCACTTTCCATATACCACGCATTACTAGACGAACTATAATTAAGTAGCAGCATATACCTGTAACATTACAAATGCTTGCAGATGAGATGGTGACCGAAAAGGAGAAATTCAAGGAGGTCGGGGACGGCCTGGATAATGCGTTCTTCGAGCTTTACGGCGTCTAACGCAGCTATTAATTATCTTCCTAACACTTAAAAAAAATTAAAAATTTCTCTTACAAATCTAGCCTTGCACTTAACACATATTCCGTAAGTTCCATCTACGCTTTTTAACCTGCTTGCTGCTAATAATAACCACAATTTTCTAATTAAATTTACCTAGATTTTTTATTATGTTTTAAGAGAGCACAATCCTAAAATCATCTTAAGATTTCATCTTTTTTATGCTGATTTTATATTAAATATTTGATTATTTATTATTGATATATTTATATTAATAATTAGATTAAAACCAAATTGCGCGCTTTTTATTTTATTTCAAAATGAAGAAATAATTAAGATAAATTAAGATATAAATGATCAAGCGATATGATGAGCGAGATATTTTTATGATATTATGTTTTCTTGCAGACGAACTCGTCCACGAGAAAGAGAAGTACAAATACATCTGCGACGACCTGGACCTCACTTTCACCGAATTGGTTGGTTAAATCGGTTTACCGAATACCTGCATCCGTTGTCGAATTATTTGTACATCAATGCTATTCGATCGCTGTCGACTCACATCATCGATGCATACTTTTGTCATCGAATAACTAAAAGTCAATATGTATTATTATAAATATGTTTCGCGTTCTCTAAATATGCTCATTTTTTATTTATCTACATCAAATTTCTATTATACTTTCGGTTTTCAGAGAACGTAGAGCAGTCATAGGGCCGCGATGATTTATTTATTTCGAAACACCGCTTATATGTATATAAATCAAAATTACAAACATAATTTTTAATGTAGTTATAATTATATTAGGCTGCTTTAACAATCAAGCACATGGTAAATAAAACAAGTGCAATCCGATCTCTGTACTATTAATAAAACATTGAGTTCTGAAAATATCTTGATTCCTCCGTCATAAATAACGCGACTTAAAATTCTCGATGCTGTACAAGGCCATTTTTGTTTCGAATATTCCCAAAAAAAAGAACAAATAAAAAAAGATCAGAATTTGATACATTGTATTCTCTTTCACATTTAAAATATATCCTATTCCTTAAGCGCATAAATGGCGATATATAATTATTTCTAAAAATATAAATTTATGAATGAAATGTCTCCATATAGAATGATTTAAATCTTACATTTCACCCAATTTTCTTCCGCGCGTGCAAAGTAAGTATTATATAACAAGAACCATGTTATTCATTAAATATATTCTGGATAAAATAGCAAGATATAATAATTCATTTTCCTTTTTCCTATTTTCATTTTAAGTTATTGTGTGAATATTGTTGACCAATTCCAAAACATCGATATCAATTTTGCAACAATCTGTAATACTATATTGTGTCTCTTTCTCTTTCCAATTAAAAATATTAAAATGTATACCTGACTAACCATCGTGCCGTCCACTAATACCACATTCCCTCCCTTCTCATTGCAGACGTGCTGGTAAACGAGCGCTGTAAATACAAAGCAATCGCCGACGAAATGGATCAGACATTTGCCGACCTCGCCGGATATTAGCAGGCAAGCTAAGAGCATACAACAGAGGTATTACATACATGCGGGGAAAAAAAGGATAAAAGAAAGAAAAGATAATTCACGCTACGATAAAATGATACTGCCAGCACGCGGATCCTTCGCCACACGTATCGTTCAATAAATTCTACACATATCCCTTCGAGAGACGAGGGGATAATCGGCATTTAGTCGCGCAGGGTGACATTCGATAGACGATGGAGTTTAACGGTCTCAAATCGAGTTATTCGTCGAAGACATTATATGCGTTTTACATTCCCCAACTTAATAGAATTTATTTTGAACTTATATTCCCCAGAACTTTGTAGAAATTTAAATTTTCTATAAAGTTTATCTTTCAGAAGAGACAATCTCGTCTTTAAGTGGCATGAATATAAAAGATATTTATTGCGTCCGAGAAGAAATTCGAATATTTTCTTCCGAATCCTGGCACGAAATTTCCATTCCATGATCTATAATTTACTAAACATTGATTTTATCTATTTATTTGCGCCTATACCTGTCTGCATGGCAATCTTATTTTATTTTTTATGACTTTTTTAATATCCATTATTTCCAAGATTATATATACAATCTTTTATTTCCAATTATGTGCGCAATTTATATTAGTCCTCTGAATTTGCCCATGTCATCATATCTGTATTATCTGTAATAGTATTAATTATTAAGAAATAAGAAAATTATTTTCATTTTGTTCAATTCGTTTGCATAATTTCTGAAAACTCGTATCGAAAGTTGCGCTGTTTCATAACTGAAGTACATACACGCATACGAGACGAAAATGAAATGTTCGCGTAAAGGATTTTATCTACGATAAATCTCGCGTAAAGGATTTTATCTCGATAAAGCTCGATTTAAATCTATGTCGAAAATCCATAGGGCCTTAAATATCACGTCATTGTCACTGCGACAAATGTGTTCAAGGCACGTTTATAAGCAGGAAACTGAAACAAACTGTACAAAATCTTCCGATAATTATCGTATAAATACAAATTTATAAAAAAAGAAATTATTACTAATAAATAATATTAGAGTGCAATATATAAAAATACATAAGCATACGAAAATTTCCTGCTTATAAAATTTCCATTTCATTTCAGAGGCAGCGCTAACATTCATCCATGAATCCACCAATTCATTTAACCATGAATTTTCTTTATATTTGCGCATTCCACCGTACGATTAGACAGTGCGGTCTAATTAGTCAATATAACGCTTAAGTTTCTTTCCATTACATATTAAGGAATACTATGTATCGCATCCATACTTTCAAGTCATGCTTCTATGTTTGTATCGTGCAGTATTGTGTTAAAGTATAAATTTATCACAATTGATCCGCTAAAGAAAAATATCTCGTTTCAAGAACGAGATATAGTGTTCATTATAGCATATAAATAAAGTTGCTTCTATAATATATAGAAAAGGTTTGCAAAGCGATCTGGGCTGGATTATGGTACGCGAAAAATGTGCTGGAATAATATTACATATTATAGCGAGAAACTTATGCTTGAAAGGAACGAATTGAGAAATCGATAAGTTCGATATATTACGGCTCTCGACATGTATTAATGCTGAAAATTTTATATCTTACTCTTTTTCATGTTAATTCAAAATAGTTTCACGATCACGCATGATCACGCAAATTATCGGGATTGGCGATTGAAATTTTGTGACGGACCAAGCTCAGAGACTTTCAAACATGCACTTGATGCAGCGATCTTGACTATCTTATGTGATATCTATTATTATTTAATTGTATTTATATTACTTTCAATAAATATGCATATTTTATATCTCTGCATACTAAATGTCTTACTCATTTTGCAATCTCGTCATTCGTTAGTAATGAGACATTGGCTGTAATAGTAATTCATTCATTCCGCATACAGTTGCTACATAATTGAAAATTGATTTTTTTATGATAACATTGAATATTAGTAAACATTAATGGAACTTGCAATGTCTGTTTAAACAGTATTAAATAAATATAATAAATTCTACCATGTTATCATGAGTCATGATTCATGACAACAACACAATTTTATCATAATGTTGCATGATCAAAAAATAAATGCTTTTTAACTCTTAAAAAATATGGATATACTAGTAAAGCATATACCAGTAAAATAAATAATGAAAAACACATTACAGTTTCTGAAGAAACTCTAATTCTTAACAAGAAAATATACATATAATTATATTATATATAAATGTAAAAATGTTTTTCACGAATACCAAGTTTATGATTAAAAATAGAAAAATGAATGAAAATAAATTATACATGTTATGATAAAATAGAAGCGTTATATGCGTCTTTATGATTCATAAATCTAAAAAAGAAAGTTTTTTATTTCGAAAGAGGGATGGCTGTTGTGAATCTGCAATTAATAAATCATAGATTTATATAACATATACATATTCATTATTTATATGATCTGATATGATAATATAATATTATTTATCTAAACATAACGCTAATATATATTTCTGTATTTTGCAATTAAAATTTGAAATTATCTTATATATCAGCGATCTAATAATTACAAAAGTGCTGAGTAACATATTTCCAAAAATATTATACTCTTTACTTATAAACGAACGATATCACGCGTGGCGCGCAAACAACGATTTACTTATTACCTTTACATGTTTCGTTAATCTGCATATTTCCATCGGACATCGTTTCACAGTATAATCCGCCTATTCAGGTAAATGCGATGTAAATACATTTCTGAGGAACCAATTTATATTAATTTAGAAACAATGACAAATTTGATAAGGCACTAAAAAGTACCCTACAATGGCAACACATTTTAACTCCGATTATTTCCTTGTATTTTAACAAATACGATTAGCCAAACTAGAAAAAGCTATCTTAGAAGATCATGCTGGCTTATAGTATTGCGCTCTTGAAACGCAAACTTTATAAAATTGTTACGCATCGATATAAATTAAATACAGATCGTGTACTTTGAATTAAAAATTCTCGAATTATTCGGTAACCTCAGAGTCGCCAAACAATAACTTATATCAATATATATAAATGTAAATGCAATTTTCGAAATGTGAAAAGCATACAAGTGAATCGTATGAGATAAAACTTAAGAGCTATGCGGTAAATATTGGTTAATTGTCGTTAATTAGTTGGAAATCAATAATAGTATTTTAACTATTATTCTCATGCTTCTCATAATTAGAAAGAAAGTGTCATCTCTCTTTCGCATTAACTATATTTTGTTTTTTATTATTTTAATTTGATTGATTTCAAATTTTGATATTTGTTAATTGTTTTACTAAAAGATTACACATTAGCACGGTATTGCTGCGTAGTAAAAATCTTCGTATTATATATATAACAATGCACTCTTTGCATTATATAAAAGATATCCATACTGCTAACAGTCTATATGTATAAGGCACATTGTAGACATTTTTTACAAATTTTTATAAATGCATTATAAATTTTGGAATCCTATTTCTGCCTAAAAAAAATTACATATTATCATGAATAAAATATCTTATAAAGATTTTCGAAAGAATAGGAATCGAGCCGACAATATAAAAACAAGAATATATTAAGCATCAGTTACAAATGTAAAATGATTAGATATAAAAAAATATGACTAATTAATGTTAGTTGCAGCTTATATTGAATATAACAAGTAACACAATCTTCTGGTCAATAAAAAGAATGATCAACAGAAAAACTCTTAAGAAATCTTTTAATTGAATCAAATTAATAAATAGTTTTTGTTATTTTAATTATATAATTTAAATTCGCCAAGACAAAAAATATCAAAGCAAAGAAATAACGTTAATTTAATAATAACTATAAATTGTGTAAATAACAAAGAAATAAAAGTGACATCTTTTACTTGGCTCTTCCTAATTACTGTGATTAGCACTATATATCACTCCATGAGCTGTCGGAATTATAATTTTAATTGGCATAATTTATCGCAGTTATGTAAAGTTTGGTCCCATTATGGAATTATATAACATGTAAAACTACATATTGTCATTTGGAAGTTGGTTGTTGAAGTCAAAAGTACTGGTGTCAAATTGGAATACTTATGAAAAACATTTTCAAACATTTATAAAACTGATTTCAAATTTCATAATTTTCAAATCTATTTGTCTCTCTCCTGTTGATATATTTTAGGAAAAATTTAGTTTTATCCAAACCGATGTCAATGTAATCGAGGTAAAAATGATCGAAAATTTATATATATCAGATCAAAAACCAAAAAGTTTCTTTATATAAATATCTTTCGATATCTGATTTCCTAAAATGACAGTTCGTCGTTTCAAACGAATAACCTTGCAAATAACAAGAACCGAATAGAAGCATTGCTTCGAGTATTATATCGCATATTTTTTTCTTCCTTCAGTAAAACGCACCGATTAAGTGCGCTGCGATCTAAATAACGGTGATAGTAGCGAATGGAAGCTCGATATGAAAAACAAATATTTAAATCTGCGCCGGTTCGACATAATTAGCTGGTAGCATGCCGTGTCGCCCCGTACGTTGCACCAATCCGGTCATCCAGCCTTCATCTACAGCTGTACAGTTGACAATTAAATCGCCGTCGCAGAAACTCACTTCATCAAGATCTTGAGCCTCATAGTCATACATCGCTCTGTACACTCTCTGCAATAGGATAAAAAAAAACAAAATTATATAGCAGATATCATTTGGAACTTTTCTATTTCTTTTACATTAATATATATACTTTATTTTTCTTTTAATTATTTGAAGTGTTTATTTAAAAAATTTACTTTGTGAAACATATCAATATATTTTCTCATAAAATCATGTCCTAATTTTTATATCTTACATTCAAATAAACAATTCAAGACATAATGAATAATATATGTGATGTAATTAAAAAGATATTTACCCCAACATTGGGGGGCGGTGGCGGCGGTTGATGCTGAAGTTGATGCTGATTATTGTTTATTGTTGTGGCTGGCGTTAACGATCCGTAATATTCGTTTACTGGATCGATGTCGGCAACCGAGCCGATTTTTCGTGTCGGTGGATTCGTCACTGCAATATGTCACATTTTTCATGTATAAAACGTGTAATTTTCAAATAATTTTCTACATTTATATAAATGCTTAATTTATTTTGTTATAAACCTTTCATTCTCATTAATAACTATTGTTATTTGGCGCAATCTGTCGACCTATCAAAATTATTCCAAAGTTTTAGTAATAAGTAAACCACAATGAAACCCACAGAAAGATGATTACAATGATAGGCAGCTTTCTATTTCCCCAACAAGATGAACGTAGCGATGTCGCAACGATTAATTCTAGTGCAAAGTGCTTCGATCTGCAAGTACTGATTCGGCTTTGTTCTGAATGAATCGCGTGAAATGACAATATGCAGGCATAATGATGCAAACACAAAGGAGGATTTAAATCTGACAAGCAGTGATACAATTTTCAAACGACATTACAATCCAAGATCGCAATAACTCTGGCGTCTTACAGTAGGAATGCATTGTTTATTACATATAAGAATATAATTAAATAAAAATCTGATCTATTAAAACCAGTTATGTATATTTATGCTACGAGCATGTTCATTTTACATACAATTATAGAATGCAAAAAATTGAATAAAGTCATCAAATAGTCTATATATATCATTGTAATAATTCTCTCTTCATGTTCATCCTTTTCCCACATATCTCACATTAATATATATTAATATATATTATTATATTATTAATATATATATATTAATATATATTATTATTAATATTATATAATTAACATTATTATTTATATATATATATATATATATATATATATATATATAAAATTAACAAATTAACAAGTATAAAATTATTTGTGGGTAATTTAAAGTAATTCACGGAATATAAGTGAATCCCTTATTATTATTATTATTATTATTATTATTATTATTATTATTATTATTATTATATTGTCTCAAAATATTTATTCGATAAACGTTAGAATGTGATTTAGATATTCTCGAATGTAATTCGTATAACAATAATAATTATTATATTAACAATTATTATATTATTAATTAAAAAATGTTATGTAATATATTAAATAATAATATAGAATATGTATATTATTCTATACTGTAATGAAATATAATAGTCATGCAACGTCCATATAGTGAATAGTTGCAGCGATTCCAGTCGCGAAGATCAACGCACCTGGTCCCTTGTCACTTGTGTAAATGACAGTGGTGGCAGCTTGCCTTGCGGAATAAGGACTCGGTCTCGCTTCGCTAAGGGGATCGTAATCAGCGATCCTACCTGGTGTCCTTTGTACCGGCGAATTAGCCGTTCTTGGAGGCGGCGGATTGGCATTTAAACTCGATGCAGGGGCGATCGTACCGTCTGTGTACTCTACATATTCTATATCAAGAATGCACAAGAAAAGCGATAGGTTCAACAAGAAGCGACAATCGATCTATTATGAACGACGAGTGTGTGTAATGGATACTAAAAAGAAAATAACTCGATACGTGTAAATTCTTCATCCATTTGCATTTTATATTCTCATTTTTAGTCGGTTGAACAGCAATGTATTAAATGCATTTATAATTGTCGTAATTACTTTTATTATATGAATTTAAAAAAAATATGAATTTAATGAATAAATGAGAAAAATATACATTAGTATGTAAGTAAAGATTATTATCACAAATAATAATGCACACATAACATATAATTTGCAGTTTAATGATTACACATATATTGCTATGTCATTAATTAAATTATTATTAATTAAAATGAGTTTAAAGTGAAGAAATAGATGGCTTACATTATACAATTAAATTTGTGAGAGAAAAATGATTATTGATAGAGGGTGATTTACATAATGAAGTTAGATAATTAATATATAAATTGTGAAACATACTGATACATAAAAATGAGGAAAAAGATATTTCTACTTTTATGAAATTACAAATCACATTTTGATCAATAACATTTTCCCAATGATAATCTGCTTAAAATCATGATCAAGCATCAAAATAGCAAGTTTATGATTAAGTGTGTGACAAAGTTGTACCTAGAGATTATTATTATTAGAATCCATATCGAATGATTTACTACGAAACAACAATAATATAAAATAATACCAAAAACATAATATACGGCAATTATATTTTTCATTATATCACAAATAAGTTAAAGAAATATGATATATTCTAACGACAAAAAAAAGACATGTGGTTTTTTCTACTTACCTATTTGTTCACCATTTTCTCCCGTCATTGTCCTCTTTTGCTCCATAATCGCCTTCTTTTCGAGCTCACCATGATAAGCAACATTCGAGATTATCTTACTATTCTGCTTGATTCTGAGAGTCTCTGGATCGTCTGCTACCTGCGTAAATTTTCCTTTCGCCTTCTCAAATTCAGCGTGATATTTCACATTACTCTGTATTTTCGTGTTCTCCGCAATACGCTTCAATTCCGGTGTCTCTGCCATCGTGGTGGCTTTGGCTTTTGGTATATGCCTATAATAAAAAGAATTATAAATCTCGTTATTAAAGAAGTTACAAAAAATTACAAAAATTGTTTTATTTAAATCTGAAATATAGAACGAATTTATTTCGCAAACTATTCAAAAATTAAATTCTTGCCAAATAAAGAAATTCTACTTCAGTCACTTCAAGTTTAAAAATGTTGTTTTTTATTTTCAATACACCCGTTATGTCGTATTTCAGATGAGTTTCTTATTTCTTTCTCTTTCTTTCTTTAGCGAGAATATCACGCATATCTAAGCCTTTACATAGATTCTCCCGGGGGACTTCCTCTACAAAGGAAACATAGAGATTCACTGAATAATGCAAGTTCCAAGTGAACGACAAGCGGTCAACGACGTCATTCTTATCATGAACATCCTCTCTGTGCACTATGTCGATTATAATAGACGGGGGAGGAAAACGATATAAAGCGAACTTATGTTCTTCGGAGATTACGCGACTGTAACCGAAAAGTTTTTTTTTCATCTCCTACATCATACAAGGTGAACAGTAAATTATAATGTGTACTCACGCACATGATAACGATATTTGCATTTCTGCTATCGTCATTACTCCGTAAGAGCAACGTTATCTATGATTACGTTGCTTTTATGGAGAAACTTACATCTGCTGGAAATTAAATACGTGGATTTTATGTGAATAATCATGCCTTGCTACAAATTTTTCTCTAAATTAATTTCGATCATTTTTGAAGAAAATTTTCAGATTTTAAGATACATAATTAACTTTTGTTCGATAATATATAATAATTAATAATTATAAAATATAATATATAATATTAATATATAATAATTATAATAATATATTATAAATAATTATAATATATTAAAATAATATATTGTATTAATTATAGTAATAGTAATATTTAATTAATATTACAGTAATAATAACATTTAAACATATATATAAAAATATACATGAAAAATGTAGATGATTGTAAAATCATAATGGTTTATCTCAATAACAATTTGAAACTGTTATTTAATAAAACTAACTATTATTTATGTCTTATTTTGCAGCACTTTAAGCATCTATCTTGATCATGTTGCAATTATGAAAATATTAATTGGGCGGATAAAGGTTACACATATTTATTATAAAACGTTAACATTTACCTCGATAAATTAAACTTGCATAAGTAAGTTATTTTAAGCAACGCGAGCGAATAATTTACCTTTCACGTATAAAACGCCATATACGATGTGAATTAGAATATGAAAATTAATAATCAACTAGTAATCAGTTATGTGAAATTTGATAGAAACTTTCTGGCCGGCAACTCGAGCGATTTAATTGCGGTGGAGGTAACTATCCGGTACCTATGAAACGAGATAGAAATCGATGCATAAATGTATAATCATATACATGGACTTGTAGTAAAGAGAATGCGTTGAATGACATGCGTGAATGTATATCGACAAAGTCGTATCGCGTTTATAAAAACATTGATACTGACGCAACATCCAAGGAAGTACTTTGCATTGTATTAATAGAAATTATACGCCAACCTGTATTACTTGTTACTACTTTCTACTATGGTCCACACGTTATTAATAAACATAATATAAATTTTATAATGTAAGAGATTAAAACGAAAAATACTACTTCCTCAACGAAAACAAATTAAATCAGATCGCACAACTAATAATCTTTTTCTCAAAAAAATCTTGAAAATCATGTTAACGACTAAAATTTTTTGACGTGACACTAATTAGTCAATATATATTTTGTATGACTGTCAGAGACACACGTGTCACATAAACGTCACAAGGTGGATTATGTAAATCGGCTTTAACGCACTTTGTACGTATTAACTAATTTTGTCTTGTGGACACGCGCGAGACATAATTGAGATTTGTGTCACAACTTCGTTTCCCATATACGATGCCTACGCGTTGTCTCACCCGGTAATTGTGCTATGCGATTACGTAATGTGCCGGTGCATAGTGTGTACGAATAATAGGCATGCAACTCCCGTCTCTCTTTGTCCGGAGAAGCCGAAGGATAGCCATTGTTCCATGGCCGACGAAAAAGAATTGCTTTGTGACCTGATGCGTATTTGAGTTCTTCGAATTTAACATGGAAAAAAAAACAAATATAAAAATAATGTTGAGAAAAAAACAACATGAGTCAAGAGAACAGCTGCAAATGAGGAAAATTGGAAAACAATGGGTCTTGCGTGTCTTCCCATGCGACTGTATATATTTCTGATTGTTACATGCTAGATGTAAATAATAACATAATAGGTAAATATGTATATAATAAGAAAACTCTGCGAATTTTTCAAATGATACATTGCATATAATAATATGACGAAAAGATTATAATTAAAAACTAGTTAGCGGGATAAAACATATGAAAGAAAACTCGTGTTTCCAAATGTCAAACATTTTTTCTCTCTATAATGTTGCGTTTAATAAAAAAAACTAAATTCTTGCTAGGTTTACATGATGCATAACGTGTAATATATTTAAAGAATATTTTTAACACATTAAAAGAATGTAATATTAAAAAGTTAGAATTTTTAAGTAATTTAACTCGTGCATGTCCTCAAAATTATTAAAAACTTATTATTAAATAAAATTATTATTAAATAAATTATTAAAAACAATTCTGAATCAAGATATATATCAGCGATATTTTTATCTCAAAATCTGATATATTCTTTTGTCAAAATGCTATATTTTTAGATTTTAATTTCGATTGCAAATAAAATTATTGTTATCGCAAGCAAATATTATATATATATATATATATATATATATATATTGTATATATATATATATATATATATATATATATATAATTATAATTTTTTATATTAAAAAAATAATTTATTAATAAAATTGATATAGGTGATTTGCAAATCTTTTTCCCATAAGATCTTTTCTCATTATTGACTATATATATGTATAATGACAACGATATAACATGCGACGATATGATTCATCGAATCATTTAACTATCTATATATATGCACAAGTACAGCAATGACTAATCTCTTATTAAACGCTTGTCTATCTACTTAATTATGACGTATGTTCGTAATATTTCTTTTATTGAATTCCATTTACGCATTTAACACATATCTTAAGCAAAAAACGTGGGAGTTTGATACAAATGAGAAAAAGATATGCGATTCATATAAAATAAAAATATAAAACATTTTATAAGAATGTGGATTTAAAACGCTTCAAGGCGTGAAATCATCTGATGTATGTAATGTATCCTTTTATTGAAGCAAAAAAAGTTACTAATTTTATTTGAATATAATCGGATTTATGCGATGCGCAATAGATATGTTAATACATGTGTATGGATGTATCTTATATATTCCTTCAAATACAATAAACTTAATTATTGTTCATGAACAACATCGTGTGTAAATAAGCGACTAATATTCCACGTCGGGCAATGCAAATTTATGCAAGTAACATCCTTCCTACGCGTGATAAGATACGGTTCATTGTTTAGCCAAACTTCTTACCTGTTTACATAACGCGACACTGCACACCCACACATGTTCGATTTATCAAATATTACGTATATACGTGAATACAACTAATATACCGGAGCAGATAACATCTGTTGCATTTGGTTATCGTGCCGATCAAATAACAAAGAGAACAACAAGAAGAACAATAAGATAATATTGATAAATTCATAACATTGATAAGCGCATTGATAAAACATTACACACTAAATTATATCAGACTCATTAAATATATTAATAATAGAGCTTAGAGAGATCATTATTTTTCAAATTGATGTAACGAATAATAAATTTAAATATGTTTTTTCTATGATTTATAAAATTCAGAATCTTTATATGTTTCTTAATAATTTGAAAATCAATTCTCTTCTTTTTTATCGAATTATTTTTAATTATCATAATAATTTCATAGATTAATTATAACTTTGCTAGAAGAGAAAGGAATTTTAAAAATATAAATTTAACACTATTTTTTATTTTATACTTCCTACCTTTGTAAATTTTTATAATTAGATTTGCTATTGATAAATTTGCAATACTTGCGATTGAAATGTGAATTGATTTATTGTATAAAAAGTCAGAAATATTTTATTATTTTTTCTATACTTTTTTGTATTTTTTATTGAATTTAAAAATAAGTCAAAGATTTGTATACTTGTACAGTTTCTATTTTTAAAGTTTTTTAATAGCAATTTTCAATACAAACGAAAATAGAATAATGATGTTATAATGTCGGAGAATTCAAAACCGCAATGCATTTTTGTAATCACGAAAACAATTACAATTACATTACACCAATGCGCAATAATGTTCGGAAAGTTTTGCGCAATAACTTGCTCCACTGGGAGAAATTTCTCAGGGTGGGTCTATTGGATTCCGTTACTGCGGTTAAATCTCAGATGGCTTCGGTATTTGCCGCTCGTCAATCGTTACGACAAAGCGAAGCCGTATCTTTGTCCACATTCTAGAAATTCTCACGAAGGCCGAAACAAAAGAGCATGAAAATCCCTACGAAAAAATGATCCTTAAGAAAAAATGATCTTCCTCGCTTCCTTGTTTAAAAATATCATGAAATTTTATTCCTTTCTTCTCCAATATATTATTGTGCGGATACGAAAAGTGCTGTGAATTTAAAATATATAATTATCACAGAAAAAAGTAAGTGAAACCAAATCAAAACTTGTATACTTAAACTAACGCGGTCATTGTTTCGTATATACGCAACAATTTATAATATCTTAGGAGAATTTAATAATTTAAATTCAACAATATTATAGTCTTATTTTAATATTGTAATTGTCATCTCAAGAATATATAATTATTTAATTCTATAATACTTTAAGAAAATTATAATCTTTGATCTAAAAATGTTATTTTCTATCTAACATTGTTTTTTTTTCTATTCGAGAAAATTAAATCTTAAATCATAAGAGTATATTTTTCTTGATTGAACTATATAAAATGGCTTTATTCGAGT